AAGGTTTAGGAGTTTGAGACCAGCCCAGCCACATTAGTGAAACCCCGTCTTTACTAAAATACAAAAATTAGCGAGTGTGGTGGCGAGCATCCTGTGTCCAGCTCCTCAGGAGACTGAGCGTGGGAGGAATCACTGAACTCGGAGGCAGAGGTTGCAGTGAGCTGAGACCACACCTTTGCACTCCAGCCTTGGGGTGACCAGTGAGATTGTCTCTCAAAAAAAAAAAAAAAAAAGGCAAGAAGTGGTGGGACATACCTGAATCCCAGCTACTCGAGGCCTGAGCATGGAGCACATTACTTGAACACGGAAGGCAGGGCTTGCACGTGAGCCAAGATCATACACTGCATGCGCTCCGCTCAAAAATAAATAAATAAATAAAATAAAGTAACAGATGTGAAGGACAAATGGAGTTGGATTTTTGTTGTTGTTGTGTTGTTGTTTTTGAGGCAGAGTCGTTGCAATCTGTTGCCAGGGCCTGGAGTGCTGTGAGAGTGGACTGGCGCGATCATCGGCTCACACGCAGGCTCTGCGTCCACAGGTTCCACGCCATTCTCCTGCCACGGTTCACACCATTCTCCTGCCTCAGCTCGCGAGTGAGCTGGGCGTACAGGCGCCTGCCACCACGCACCACCGGTATATTGTTTGTTTTTTTAGTGGAGAGGTTTCACTTGTTAGCTAGGAGCGGTCCTCCATCTCCTGAACCTTGTGATCCCGCGCTGCCTAGCCTCCCCAAATGCCTGAGAGTTACAGGCGTCGAGCCGACCGGCCGGCCTTTTATTTTTTACTGCAAACATCTGCCTGGCCCGGACTTCCAAGCAATTCTCCTGCCTCAGCCTCCGAGTAGCTGGGATTTACAGGGCGCACACCCGCCACGTCCAGCTTTTTTTGTGTATTTTAAGTAGAAACGGGGTTTCACCGCGTGTTGCCCCAGGCTGGTACTCGAACTCCTGAGCTCACGCAATCCCCTCCTCAGGCCACCTCAACCAAAGTGCTGAGGATTACAGGCGTGGAGCTCTGGAACTCTCGAGCTCAGGTACACTCCTGAGCCACCCGCGCCAGCACCGCTTTCGTAGCTTCTTTGAGGCAGGTTCTCGCTCCTGTCTCCTAGGCCCCCGAGTCCGCACTACCGTGCAATCCGGACTCACTGCAGCCTGGGCTCAGCGATATCCCCTGCCCTTAGCCTCCCAAATACGCTGACGGCTACAGCCGGGCCACATGCCCAACAATTTTGTAAATTTTCTTTTGTAGAGAGCGGCCGGTCTCCCTAGGGGCCTGCCCAGGGTGGTCTCGAATTGCCTGGCCTCATGCCACTCCTTCTGCCTTTTGGGGGCCTTCCAACCTGGAGCCAAAGCCGGACTATGATTAGAGGAGACAGAAGAGCGAACGGATTCCCAAACGGAGCGAGTGGGAAGGGAAATCCTGGGGCGGAATATTCACGGGGACTTGGAACGGAGCCGGTGCGCAGCTCCGGCTCATTGCGCTGTCTGGGTTTATTCCGGGCCAGACCGTTGGCACCAACGGGCGCAAGCGCGTCTACGGCGGCGGGGTTCAGGAGTGGGCGGGGTCGGAAGCACGCGGGCGCACGCGCACTGCACCGCCCAGGCGTGCGGCCCCTCCCGCACCTGCGCACCGAGACCGCCGCGGGAGGGCGGGGCCTCCTGCGTCGTCCTGCGCTAGGGGGATTGTGGGATAGTGGCGGAGGGAGCCGGGCGTCGGAGGCCCTGAGGCGGGCCGCAGAGCCCGGAGACTGAGCGGCTTTGGGGAAGGGGCAGTTAAGGAAGTAGGCCTCGGCTTCCGTCGGTCGCTGCTCGGCTCTGCGGCCCGTTTGGACCGCGGAGGGGGACGTCTTCCCCTCCCGCGGGGCGCTGGGTTGGACTGTGGAAACCGAGGCAACTTCCCCCGTCTTCCCGGCTGAGGCGCCTGCGCGGGCCTCGCGACCGGGCTCGCCCGCAACCCGCCTTGGTCGGCGCGCCCACCTCGCCTGCGGACCCCGGAGGCGCCTACGCGGACTCGTGACACCCCCAGCCCGCCGGCAACCCCACCCGGCTCTGACCCCCTCAACTCTGCAGGACCCGGCGCGCGAGGACCCCACGACCCGCGGGCGCCTGCGCGGACCCCGCGAGCCCCGGCGCCTGCGCAAGTCCCCGACGCCGCCCCCGCCCCTACTTACCGGGCCCCGCAGCAGGGGCCGGAGCCGCCGGCGGCGGGGCGGGGGGGGCGCCCCGATGAGCCCCGAGTGCGAGGAGCCGCCGCCCCCCCTCGCAGGTGAGCGGCCCGTGTCGCCCCACCCTGCCTCTCCAGGACCAGGCCCCCACGTCTTGCCCTCTCCGGACCCCCGCCGGTCTTTTCTGCTTGGGATCCTCCTTCCTTCGGGTTCCCTCTCCACGGGCCCCCGTTTCTTCTCCCTCGACCCTCTCCAGTCTCTTAATCTCTCCTCAGCTCCCCCGCCACCCACGTCTCAGTTTCTTGCCCTCGGGCTTTTCCCACCCGCTCTCTTTGCAGCTGCGCTCCCCAGTCCCTGAGCCTCAGCTCCGCTCTCTTGCCTCTCTGGCCGGTCCCCCGGCTCCCCAGGAGTCCTTCCCCCTGGTTACCCTGGACTTTGCCCGCTTACACCCGTCTCTCTCGCCCCAATCTCTGCCCCGCCGCCTCTTCCGCGGCGCAGCCTCCTTAGATCCGTTGCCTGTCACCCCGGAGCTCAGGACTGGGGGAGCGGGGCTTGTCTTCACCTTGACCGACCCTCTCCCGCCTCCGGTTTCTTGTGCGAGGGACCTGGGAGCGGGGCTTCTCTGGAGCAGCCACCACTCCGGCCTGCTTCAGTGAGATGAAGCCTGCTGAGGGCAGGCAGGGCGCCTGGCGCTGGGCTCCGAGGTGGGGTCATCAGTCCTAGGCCCTGCCCTGGAGGTGGGGCCGGTCCCTGGAGGTGGGGGGGGGGACAGAGGCAGAACCGGACGGTCACAATTCCTGTGTGTTGTGATGGAGGTAACTTAGGGAGCTGCAGGGGGCCACAGAGCGCACGGCACTGGTGAGACTGGCTGGCTGGATGGCTTTTTCTATCTAGGAAGGATGAGTAGGAGGTGACAGATGGAGAGTGGGAAGAAGGGCCTTCCGGGGGGGAAGGAGCAGCACGTGCAGATATGTCAAGGAAGGAAGGTCGGAGTCCTGAGTGGAGATGTGTTGGGAGGGTGAGGGGCAGAGTAGCTCGGCCCGGGGTGCTTGTCCAGGCCTTGAATGGGACCTCTGGTTGGGGTCTTTCGGTCTTTCTTGCTCGCTCTTTGTACACACAGACATGACCATAAACATCCGCCTGAAAAGCAAGATGTTTCAGTAAAGGCAGCTGCGTAGACTGTCAGGCGCGGTACTGGGTTCACAGTTGTAGAGAAACTGCAGTGGGATTTCATCCAGCCCAGGGGCGAGGATCTAACCATCACCGTGCCCTGCAAATGCGGCAAGGACTGGAGATTGCCTGAGTAACCCGTGATGAGGACTTGGTTTACATCCATGCACAACACACGTGGAAATGCTCACGGCACCCGGCCACGTGTGCTTACTAGTGATGGAACGGCTGTTGGAGCTGCTTGTGCTGTTTAAAATGTTACGCTTTTTTTTTTTTTTTTTTTAAACTTTTGCCCAACATGTATCATTTTGCATAAGTTACATGAGACCACCTAACTCTAGTTCTGGGATTGGGATCATGAGAAGGCAGTCCAGCTAATTGTTAGAGGACCTTTTGTCAGACAGACCTAGGCCGAGTCTGGCTTCTGCTTTTCCAAGTGGTGAGACCTTGGACAAGTTGTTCTTCATCTGTAAGTGGGGATAGCAGACTGCTCTCCTCAGAGGGTAGTTCTAGGGATTAAGTGCAAGGTTTGTAGAAGCCTGGGGCAGAATGCAAGGTACATTGTGCTCTGCAATCAGTAGCTCTTTGGATGATGGTGATGATTTTGAGACTGAGTTTTGCTCCTTTGCCCAACCTGGAGTGCAGTGGTCTAATCATTGCTCACTGCAGCCTTGAACTGCTGGACTCAAGTGATCTTCCCACCTCAGCCTCCTGAGTAGCTGGGACTACAGGCACGTGCTGCAATGCTTGCTCAATTTTTGTATTTTTTTGTACACGCCCGGCTAATGTTTGTATTTTTTGTAAAGACTGGGTCTTGCTGTGGTGCCCTGTCATGGTGCCCAGGCTGATTTCAAACTCGTGAGCTCAAGCAGTCCTCCTGCCTAGCCTCCCAGAGAGCTGGGATTATAGGTGTGGGACACCATATCTGGCCGTTCTTTCGATTGTTATTTGATTTGGGAGTGTCTGTTGCAGTGGTTCTCAGCTGGGGACAGTTGGCGATATCTGGAGATGTTTTTGGTTGTTGCAACTGGGGGGAGTGCTGCCAGTATCTGGTGAGTGGAGGTGGAGGCCAGGGATGTTGCTAAGTGTCCTCCAATGCACGGGCAGTCCCAGCACCAGAAAGAACTGTCCAGCCCCAATGTGGGCAGCGCAGAGGAGGAGAGCTTTGCTCCACTGCTGGGGTGCTGTGTGTCGTTGTGGCTCATTTGCTCTGTTGTGACTCCTGAGCTGTGTGTTGGTGAGTTGTGTATTGCGAGTTGCCACCATCTTTGTGGCCGTTAGCTTTTGTTGGTTAATCTACTGTTTCTTTCCATTCGAGGAGAACCTGCTTGTCTGGTACCCCTCCCCATTTTTTTTTTCTGGGATGTGGCCCAGTGATCTTAACAGAACACCTTTCTCCGGCTTCAGTTCTCATTAATTCAACAAGTAGCTTTAGTTGGGCCTGGCCTTACGCTAGATCCTGGGAAGTCAGCATGTTTCAGGGGGAGGCAGATGACTGAACAGGTACATCCTGTCACAGAGCCGAGGCTCACGTGCTGTCCTAGGGTGACTGTGGGATGCTGTGGAAGCAGTGTGGAGCAGGCCCCAACACAGATGCAGTGGGGAGGCTCCCTGGAGGAAGTGGTGTCTGTGTGGGGGCCTGAAGGACCCAGGAGGAGCTAGTCAGGCTCGAAGAGCTCAGGGAAGGAGGAGGGAGCAGCCCAGTCCGGGCCGAGGGCAGTCAGGTTTGGCACCCACGCAGGAGATAGCAAGAGATGAGGTGAGAGAGGCCTGGGAGCTTTGGTGAGAGTGAGGGGCCTTCCCAGAGTAGGAATCACTCGGCACCCAGCTTGGTGGGGCTCACCCGCCTTTCCATGCCAAACCGTGGTTTTTCCTTTGCACGCCAGTTTTGTGGGTCTTTCTCCACAGGGTGCTGCCTTACAGTAGCCCCATCTGTGAGGTATTTCCCTGGTAAGGAAACTGGGGCTCGGTGGGGTGAGATCCTTGGTCTGGGCCTCAGAGATTTCAGTTTGGGGAGGTAAAATGGGAATGCACGCTTTTCTGACTTCGGATCACAGTGTAACGCTAACTGTGCCCCATTCTGTTTTTCCAAAGAGCTATTTCAAAATCTGTTTGTTGATCTTTTCCTTTTTTTTCCTTTAAACCTGTGGCCAGTTCAGGAGACGATCTGAATGTGGGCGTTCAAGTCCCCGTCCCAGTCCTCGGCCAGTGTTTCTAGACTCTTCTGTTTCCCAGTTATTCCATTTCCTGGGGTTGGACCAGGGCTACCAGCTCCCTTGGCAGGGTGTGCTTCTGGGGCCAGAGGGGGAGCCACTGAGGGTCCTCTTTAAGTGGGGACCCTGCCCAAGGCTTTCCCAAGCCACAGGAAAGCCCTCGCTCATCATCTTGTTGGGTCTTGGACAGGTCCCCTTCTACCAAATTGGTGTCCCTGATTCCTGCTTGCTGAGTGGGTGGTGCTGGGTTCTGCAGCTGGCACACCCCGTAGGTCCTGCTCAGAGATGGTGGGGTGGCCATTACTGTCGCTGCGTCCCTGGAATTGGGTGTTCCGAAACCCCTTTCAGATTTGGCTGAGAGCTGACGGAGGCTTGGGAGATATTAGAGGGAGATGGTCTTGCTGTCCTTGGGACTCTGGGCCCTTTAAGGAGCTGGGTGCTGGCCAACCTGCTGCTGGTAGCAGGCTCTTTCTCTTCCTGGGGTACTGGCCAGGGGGCCAGGCGTTGGAGCTTCCGCTGAGCATGGGGGCAGCTCAGGTGGCTGTCTCTGGAGGCCCCCGGGGCCTTTGTGCCCTGGCCTCCATTTCTGGGTGCTCATGGGTCAGCGCGGGTTGAGGAGGGGTGACAGATGAAGCGTGGGCCCGTCAGTCCCCTGGCGGCAGAGCTGTGTTTGGACGGATGCCTGCAGCAGTGGGGATGGCTTTGTGGGAGCCGCCGTTAGTGCCTGTCCAAGCAGGGGAAGGAAGGGGCTGTTAGGCCCTTGAGGGGTGGCTGGTGTTGAAGGCCCTAGAACACCACAGCAAAATAAGAAACCAGAGGCAATAGTGCAGAGCTGGTGGAGGGAGAACGGCAGAGGTAGTTTTCGTTTTTAATGGCTTCCTTTCTCATTTACAATTTCCCCTTCTTCCGTTTGCAGCCAGACTCTTGGTTTTCAAACGGTAGCTAAAAACTAGTGGTAGTCACTTCCGCTTTCTTGAAGTTGCTAAAAGTTGCAAAGAATGGGGGTGGCGGGGTGCACGGCGCCTGCAGTAGTATCCAAATGGTCTGAGAAAAAGTGCTTGAGTCACTTAGGCAAATGGGTAGAGTCTGTCTCCTGCTCCTCTGTGTTTAGCACCATCATCTTTGGGGTAGTGACAGTCCCTACCTGTCCTGCCAGGAAGCGTCTGGACGTGGCCTCAGGGTTGGACCGAAAGGGACTTGCACCTGCCAAGCTCCTGCTGTGTCAGGGCCACCTGCTTTAGCTCTGTGCCTTTCCACAGCAGCCCGCCCTGGTGGGCTGTGTCTCGTTTTCACGGATGAGGAAATGAGACTCAGAGAAGTCAAGTGTCTGCCCAGGTTCACCTAGTTAGAGAGTGAGCGTGAAACCCACCTCTCCTGCCCCATTCCCAGGGGTTCTAGCAGGCTTCATTAAGTTGGGAGAGGGGACTGAGAGGGCTTCAGGCCATAGTGCATTCAGAGTTTGTGGTGGAAGAAAGTTTTTTTTTTTCTCTTTTTTTCTGTTCTTCCGTATTTGCATCTTCATTCTGTTTAGAGCCTGAGAATTGAAGTTTGTAGTGTCGACCACCCGATTGCGTTTGAGCCTTTCAGTCTACTCTGGTTTTCAGAGGAGCCACTTGAGGGGGAGAGTTCAAAGGACTGTCTGGGTTCTCGGGGCCAAGGTTCTTGGATGCCACGCACCAGCAAGCACCCTCCTGTCTCGCTCTGGCAGCCCCTGCCCC